AAGCTGAAGAGAGAGACTGCAAGGTTCAAGCTGACGCAGCCGCTTCAGTTGAGCGCGAATGTCAAGACCAACTAGCTGAAGTCATGCCCGCGCTATTGGCAGCAGAAGAGGCCCTTAAGAAGCTAAGCAAAGCTGACATTACAGAACTCAAAAGCATGAAAGCTCCACCTTCAGGAGTAGTGAAGGTGATGGAAGCTCTCTGCAAGCTATTTAGAATACAGCCAATTCTTGTTCAAGTTGCCCCAGGGCAGCCTCGTCAGCCAGATTTTTGGCAGACAGCAAAGAAACACTTGCTAGGAAATAGTCGCTTTTTGCAGCGCCTGCTAAACTTTGACAGAGATGATATTCCGCCAACTGTTATGGCGGCCATTGCACCCTATGATGAAGATGCGGACTTCGATCCCGATATCGTCAAGAAGGCGTCTGTCGCAGCTACGAGTCTTTGCCTTTGGGTAAAGGCCTTAATTGCGTACGACAGAGCAAACAGTGCGGTAAAGCCTCGCCGCGAAGCTCTTCAGCACGCTCAATGCGAGTTGCGGACGGCCGAATCTTTGCTCCAAGACAAGAAGCAAGAGCTACTACAACTTGAAACACTAATCGAGCAGCTGTCTCAGCAGTATCAGCAGGCTCTTCAACGCTCCGAAGCACTTCAGCAAGAAGCCCAAACTTGTGAAAGACGCCTTTCAGTGGCTGAGAAGCTCATTGCCAGCCTTGGGGGTGAACGTAACCGCTGGAGTGAAAGCCACGAAGCTTTAAAAGTGACTCCTGCACTCGAATCGCCTTCGTCCCTTTGCACAGGCTCAGTGGCCTCAGAAAAACCTATGTAGCTCCACAGCCAAATTCTTGCCAGTGACACATGGCGACAGATAGACAAGATGTAGAGTAAACAGGTACTATATAAGGCTTTTGGCTAGACGAGTTGGCCGGAAGAGTGGCTGTCGTGAATATGAATTGCGCCCTTTTACTGTCGCAGAGTAAAGTGCCAAGAATCACAGGAGATGCTACTCTAAGTGCCGCATTTATTGAATTTGGCGGCATTTTTCGCCCTTCCTACAGACTACGCTGTCTCACGTCTTGGCAGCAAGCCTTAGAAAAGTTTGGCGTGCAGAGCACGCCTAATTACTCCATGCAGGAAGCGCTGACTAGCCCGCAGGAAGTGCAGCAATGGCTCATGCAAGGGCTGCCCGATGATGAGCTCTCTATAGAAAATGCCGCCATCACCCTCAACGCACAGTGTTGCCCTATGCTTATTGATCCTCATCAGCAGGCGGCGCCTTGGTTGGCTAGCACATTTCCTGATATGAAGGTAAGACGGAATGGATGCAGCCTCTGCAAAATTTCTAGTTTTGCTCTGTCTTTTGTATGAACAATATAACTGGCCCGCAGCCCTGTGTTTTTTAACCCAGGTGCTACGGGCTGAGGAGCCGAATTTGCTTAGATCATTGCAGCTCATGCTGCAGTGTGGGGCTGTAGTAATTCTGGAATGCTTTTTCGAGGGATTAGATCCTGCATTGAACAGTTTGCTGGAGTGGCGAAGACCGCGACAAGCCGCGTCGTCTTCCTTCACATTCCCGACCTCAGAAACTGACATTCCAACATTGGGAGAGAGCCGCTCCTCCGCCGTCGCTCTTGGTAGCGCACTTGTTGAAGTGCATCCGAGCTTCCGCTTGTTGTTAAAGACACCACTAAATGCTCCCCATTTCCCCCCAGAGGTTTGCTCGAGGCTTACTCTTATCGACTTCTCCGTGGGTTGCAAAGGTTTGGAACAGAGGCTACTGCGGCTTGCCCTCCAAGCTGCCGCCCCAGATATTCATGCAACTTGTTTACGCCTTGTGCATGAGGGGGCGGAAACGCGCGCGCAACTCGTAGCTGCGGAGCATCGGATGCTTGAAGCACTGAGCAACGCTAAAGTGGGGCTAGCCTTCTATGCGCATCCTGTACTTTGTAGTTCATGAGTTTGCAGAGTGTCGCGCGAAATGCCTTTTCAGCATGGAGCAATGGCATTTGCCGGCTCAAATGCACACCGTTGGAAATGCAGCTTTCAACAGTAGTGTAATGTGCTACATTGAGCCCGACAAGCACTTCCTCACCTCTACTGCCCACTACGGCTTGCTAGGTCGTTTGTTTGAGTGGGCATATGGCTACAGGAGAGCGTCTTGGATGACATGGAGTTACTTAGCACGCTGCGTCATGCGAAGGCTATCTCTGAAAGCTGCAGTGAAAGGCTTCAAGAACAGCAGAGAGCCCAGGCAGCTGCCGATGCAACTCTTTCGCTGTACTCCCCAGTTGCTAAGCGCGCGTCCAGTCTTTTTCAAGTACTGCAGCAGCTCGAAACTGCACACCCAATGTACCTCTTTAGCGTCCAGACCTTCCAACAATGTTTCGTCGATGCTGTATTGGTGCGGGACACACCATCATTGACACCCTTGACTAACAGACACTTCATTAATGAGCGTCGCTGCCAGCACCACTGTGCGAGTTCCGATATAGATTCATTTGCGAAAATCAGTTCACGGTTACTGGGTCCCTGCTTGGCTCTGGGTGATTCAGGAGGTCTTAGGAAAGCCCGATTCTACCAGCAGGCAACAAGATGCTGGCCAGTACACGGCTGATTTAGTTGGTGCAACGCTGAGACGAGTCTATCGCAGCATTCACCCTTGCCTTTTTGAGAGTCACAAGCCGCTACTTCCAGTTCTCTTTGCATTGCAATCCCTTCATCTGAGAGGAGCAGCTACACATGAGGAATTGCAGCAGTTACAAGCTCCAGTGGTGCTGCCATTGGTGGAGAACTGTGAGCCTGAAAGATCCCAAGACTCCCCTTCAGCTCCACTGGACGCTGCCGACAGCTCGTGGCTAACACCGAGTTGTCGTGAAAAGCTTCAGGGCCTTCGTCTCCTTGGAGAGCCATTCATATCTCTTGTCTCCTCTGTCCTTAGAGGAAGCAACGACTGGGAAGCTGCTTTATTCGACGAAAACCCTTTGGTCAGCGAATGGCCTGAACGCTGGAGCGATCGTTTGTCAATGCTGCAACAGACGCTATTGGTTCAGTGCATAAGGCCCGAATGTCTTAGAAGTTGCTTACAGCAGCTCGCAGACGCTGAAGTAGGCACAGTTCTGGGGGAAGTTGTCCCACTAGGGCTTGGAGAAGCGCTTGAAGCAGCTGGGCCAAAAGCTCCTCTACTTATTCTACTTTCTTCAGGAGCAGACCCACAAGCAGCGCTTCTTCAGCATGCGGAAGCGGCGCACATGCGTAACAAGTTTGTTTCAGTTGCGATGGGAAAGGGACAAGGACCAAAAGCATCATCCGGTCAGACGGAAACGCCAGAGAACGATGTAGCACATTTTAAAGGTCACCTGTTCACAACAACTACGCATTTCTAATGGCTGCACATGAGGAATAGCGTTTGCTCAGTAGACCTAAGGTGGTGTCTTTCAGCTTTCTTCTTTGCTGGCGTGAAAGCAGATGAGTTTACTGGGCCTGCCGCCTATGTGATGTGAACCATGGTTGCAGCCATTAGCAGCGGAGCAGAAAGTGGTCAATGGGTACTTCTGCAAAATTGCCATCTCGGACTAGGGTTCCTCAAGCAACTCAGCGTTATCGTCTCTGACTTGGCAATGCAAAGTCCTCACAAGGAATTCCGGCTGATCCTGACCACTGTCCCTTGCGATGATTTTCCCAGCGCCATCCTTCTTGTGCGCGCTCTCTCCGGCCTTTCCACGCACGCATGCTTGTGTGCGTGCATGCCTAAATACCCACTAACGTGCATGCAGCAATGCATAGCCAGAGTGTAGAGTCTGATGTTACCAGAAAGTACTTTTGCTGACACCACAATCACTGCGAATTGGGTGCGACACTGCGGTTGTTTGGTGCTTCTGCTCTTCTCCATTGTTCACAGAGAAGCCTAAAACTTGCATATGAGCCACCTCAAGGGCTGCGCCAGAACTTAATTCGAATTTACACCGAAGCTGCTCCCACTTGGCTTGTACGCCCATTACTTCACATGGAAAGGCTTGATCTCCGTAAAAGGATATACGTCGACCAGTAGCCTACTGAGCAGGTTGCAGTTTCAATGCAGATACATCTGTTGTTCTTAATACAAGTTCCTGATCGATCCATAGGTACTGTGCGCCGCTACTCGTTTCTGCAGGATACGCATCCAAGAGCAACAACGCTAAGGCCAGTTGTGTATAGGCTGTGTTTCCTACATGCGCTTCTCCTTGGCCGTCGTCGTTTTGGCTCGTTGGGTTGGGTTCGTCCCGTGGATTTCTCCTTCAGTGACTTAGCAATATCGCTTGAGCAGCTTCTGGCTTCCGTGCCACCAGACAGTTTGCAGCCATTACCGTGGAGCCTGTTGCAGCACCTTGTTTCCGAAGTCAACTACGGTGGCCGAGTTACAGACGAATGGGACCGGTACGTTGCAGTCTTTTTAAAATACGCCATCACACCCCTGTTTGCGTTTCTCAAACTTTTTGCTTATGGAAGAGGCTGATACGTTGCCTAAAAAAAAGCTTCCAGGAAAAATATTAATTCAAGTTGCCCAGGACAGATTTTGCCTCGCTGCTGTTTGTAATGGGTTTTCTACTGCCATCAGGAGACTCCTTTATCACATGTGTAGGGAATGGCTTGCAGAGGACAAAACGGAAACACATTCTCCACAGTCGCCGTTTGGGCCTTTCAACGCCCCTTCTCCCGGTTGTACGTGTGCTGAGACTCTTGCATACCTCAAATCATTACGCGCCGAGGAGGAGCCAGAGGTTAGGACCTCAGTTTGAATGTTTACAATGCCAACAGATTCTCGTTACCTTTCAACGAACTCATGCTGTTTCTCCTGGAGATGTCGAATATAACGTCATGCAAAATGTTATATCCAGCACCCAATCATAATGAGCCTCCGCTCAATAGTTTTCACTCGATCTTCGATTTGTGAACGCAATTGTTGCAGCTTTTTGGGCTGCAAGCAAACGCTTCAATCGCCGTGGCAGCTGCGGAATCTTCAGCAATGCAACAGCTGCTAATGCGCATACAGCAGCAGCAGGTCGTGACTCCGGAATCTGGGCCAAACAGCTCTTCAGCTGGAAGCAGCAATGATTTCACGGAGCGTGCACGTCTCCTGCTCACTCAGTTACCGCCACCTTTCAACATAAAAGCTGCTGCCGCGTCAAGACCGGAATCTTACGAGAATGCAATGGATGCCGTGTTGCTTCAAGAGCTATCGCGTTACAATACGCTCATTACTATCACGGAAAAACGCCTGCAGATCGTTCAGGTGTAGCCCATAGCACATAGTATAGCACTGTTGAGTGCTGTATTCCGTGGAACGTCCTGCAGCTTGACGTAAGAAACGGATATCTGGGAAAGCAATTTTAAGCTTTCTTGTTGTTGCTTCGTTCCACAGGACGCAGCTGAGGGAGCTGTAGAGTACACACCGGAAGTAGAGGAAATGCATCAGTGCCTAAGGCAAAACCGGGTGCCACAGGCAGTAGCAGCAGCCAGCTATCCCATGGGGTTTGGCCTCGCTGCCTGGATGGCAAATCTAAAGCGCCGCGTGGACTTCATGAAATTGTGGCTCCTGGGACAACCCCCCCAGCCTTTCTGGCTTCCTGGCTGTTTCAGCCCCCGGAGCGTATGCACAGCGATGCTACAACACTTTGCAAGGCGAAACAACCTAAAAATTGATGCCGTAGGTTTCAACTTCCATGTTATCGATGAGGGGGACGATACACTGAACGAAGATTCTTCAGCGCAGAAGCGTCGAGGTGAAGGGCTAAGCACAGGGTTTGCACATGACGTATCGGGGCTTTTTCTGCATGGAGCCAGTTGGTCACTGGAAGAAAAAGTGAGGATGTTGTGTGAAATTCAGACCGATAGTGCTTCAATCTGCACATCAGATTTTCACAGGGTTTGCTTTGCCAGCTTCAGTGCCTTGACCGCAAAAATCACCTTTGCGCCACATTCTGCCCGTCCCCTGAAAATCACTTGGGCCGCTTTTTCCATCAGCCCGGTAGACAGAACTGTAGCTCGCGTTGTTAAGCATCAGCAGAAGAAAGGACGGATAATTTTTCAGGAAGGATGTATTTGGCAACTTTGCTCACTATTTTTTGGCAAGGGCTCGATACCGCTGCTGCAGTTTTTGCCGAGCCATGCATTTTAGGCCCTTGTTGAACAAGACTACTGGGAGGTTTTCTCTCCATTGCCCCTCCTGCGGCTTGAACCAGTGCCTCTAGCTCTTGTCAAGCGCCCCGAACGAGCATATGATTGCCCCCTGTACTGCACATCAAGAAGGAGCGGGTCGTGTGGCGATTCTGGTAAGCAGTTTTTAAGTGATTGATCTGCAACTCGTGGAGATCACGGCTTTGTCGCAGACTGCTTTGAATTTGTTGTAAACCTGGTCCCCCTGGCTATTCTTTCTGCACCAGGTTCTTCAAACTTCATTGTTTCGGCCCCACTACCAATATTGGAGGAAGACTCAGAAGCAACATGGGCGAAGAGAGGAGCAGCACTTGTGGCTCAAGTTGACGAATAAATTTACCAGCACGATCCGTTTAAAATGCTATAGTACATTTTAAAATGTATTTCTCTTAGGTCCAGCCAAAATCAGCCAGATAATACTCCCTGCATTCTCACTGCTGAATATGACGTCAGTCTTGTGCAGCTTCGTTACGAAAATCGGCGATACCGTTGCTATATTTCCCTGCTGCCAGCAATAGACGTAGGCTATGTTCACAGGAGTAGTTCCCAGGGGTTGTGTGCCTCCAAATTTGTCGATATAGCACCTACGCACTCAAGGAGGCCGGCAGCGCGCTCACTGAATACGTCGAGTGCGCTGAAACGCCCCGAATCGAACATTTCGCAGTTTCGCAACCTACGACTTTTCTGCCTCTCCCAGTAATTTTGAATTGCAAGTGTTCCGGAGCTTCAGAGGAATGGCTGACGAAGTTAGCTAATATAAGAAGGAGGAACCATCAAATTCACGGTATTTTAATGGCGCAGGATCGCCTGGACGCTCTGGCCGAAACTGCTGTAGTTTGCGGCTGAGTGAAGAAGCTTCCGCCCATGTAACTGCGTTGAGCCTTACCAACCTTCGACTGCGCGGATAATGAGGGGCTTAGCGTTAATTGAAAAACGGCTGCATCGCTGACTCGTCATTGATCAACATCAGTGCGCGCTAGTAATCCTTCGTATCCAAGTAATCCATGGAAAATCCCGGCTACAAAAACATTATTCAGGGGCATTTTGCTTTATGTACGGGCCTTATTTGCTTCAAAATAAGCACAGTGCAGAGGTGAGGCAGATCGAGCTGCGACGGCGTAGTAAAGCGTAACTGTGGGGGTGGTGAACAGTAGTGAGTGGTGGTAGTGAACCGCAAACGTACGCTTTTGGCATCAGAGCCCACTAACGGTAGCATATACGAAATTGATATTTTCAAGCCTCCACGGATTATGGCGATCCCCATTTCGTCAATCATGTTACGGGCCGTACCAGGGAGTGCAGACCTTCCAGTATCGCTTGGCCGATTCGCGCAGCACTACTACGCACTGCATGCATGAATATAACATTAGATGCAACGCCACATACGGTAAATTTGTGCTAGTCGTAGTGCTTGTTTCATTAGGAGTCCCTCTGAGGACAGCTCGTCATTCACATGGCACACACGGAAGAACGCAACTGTGGCTAGCAACGAAAAAGCCTACGCAGCCACCCTGCACGGCATCGGAATCCTGCGTAGAGGCTTATTTCCTTATTTTTAACCTGAACAATGAGTAACCATCCAAACGGGGTACGAAACGCGTAGCTGCATTGGCTCGCGGTCCGATGGTTGTTGGCTCCAGGAAAACGGGGTCTGCTCGACACCGGCAATTACATGCTCTCATTGGGTCCTTTACCACTAGAAATTAACGTTATGTGAGTGAAGTGCATTAAACATGAGCTGGCTGTGCCTAACGAGCACGCTATGGACACCCTTGCGCATTAAGTGCTCTCACATGAAGCGTAGGCAGCAGGGCCAAGACAGCAAGAGACCTGGATGAAATGTCCCGCGAAGTGATCGCAATTTGCGCGCTATCGGAGTCCTGCGTAGACATATATCCCTATTCCCTACCTGAATCATTAGTGACCATCCAAAGCGGACAATAAACACTTGCACTGGCTCACCGGGCGATGGTTGTTGACTATACACAAACAGGATCTACTCGATACCGGCAAATACATGCTCTCATCGGGTTCTTTCCGTTTCTAGATTCAAGTTATATGGACCAGCCGCATCAAACATGGGCTGATTGTGCCTAGCAAGCACACTGTGGATACGCTGGTGCATTGAGTGCTTTCACATGAAGTGTCGGCAGCAGCGCCAAGACAGCAAGGGACCTGGATGAAATGCCCCGCGAAGTAATCGCACTTCAGGTTGGCCAATGCGGGAATCAGATAGGCAGTCGACTGTGGGAAATGCTTCTCGAGGAGCATGCTCACTCAGCGCCGAAAATCACGTCTACGTTACCTCCCGAGACACTTGCATTTGCTGGGAAGAATGCAAGCACTTTCGACGAGGGGATGTCATCGGTTTTTAGGCTTTGCAGAGACAGGTACTCTGCTGAGAATTTACTCCATACGGTACAAACAAACGAGTCTTCATTCACGCAACAGGTGGTTGTACGACTAACTCGGCGCCACACATACTGCACTATGTTGTGAAACCGGCTCAGGAAAGGTGACGTTTGGTCCAGGCGACTTAAGGCAAGAGTATGCAAATGCGCCAGTGGGGATTTCAATAACTGCAGTTTCTCCCCATATTGTGTACATTTGGTAGCAGCAATTTTTCTACTTCGTTTGCAAAGCTGCGGCGGCACTGCGCTGCAATTCGACAATATGTGTAGGCACTGTTATTGGACATGGAAGAAGGTGTCGTACAACGGCTTCTGCGTGGCCCTTTGAGCACCCTCTTCGATGATACACTCCTCATCACTGATGTTTCTGGCGCTGGAAACAACTGGTGACCTGAAACATAATAAATCTTTGCCCCCTGGAGAGTCTGGTTAAGCCGAAATATTACAATATTGCTAATAAGCTTTTAGGGAACGATGCGAATTGTCAGTAGCTTACCTCATGGACAGACACTCCAACTGGTGCTGCTCCGTAGGGCACATGGTTATGAAGTATATGGGCAACTACATGGCTCATCAATTGCTGATAAAGTTTCTCGGGCTCTGGAAGACTGTGATTCGCCGCAGGTAAGATTTGTAGGTGTTGGAGGCGAGAAAACTGCGAAAACGAGCAATGTGCTGGTTTAGAAGCAGTTGGGGAGTTTGAAGATAGTACAGAACAAGCCAGCGCTGCCTGTTTTCAATTCCTATGGAGTCCTAAAGATAATACGGCGGGGCTACGAATGTCTTATCTGCTGTGCAACACCAGAGTGTCTTTAACTGCTGCGAATGCACCTCCACAGGCATTTTTATTCGTTCACTCTCTTGGTGGGGGGACTGGTTCTGGACTCGGGACTAAATGTCTCGAGAGTAAGCGGGTTCCCGCCTGGCTTTGCTGTTGCCTGCTTTTCCAAATGATTACAGGCTTCTATGACGATGAAGGATTCCAGAGATTTGTCACTAAGCGGAGTGTTTTCTGTGCAGTGATGGCCGATCTCCATCCACAGCTCGGACGCTTCGCTTGCGTTGTCAGCCCTGGGGATACAGATGATGTAATAACGTCACCGTACAACGCCGCTCTGGCTCTTGAGAAGCTTCATCAGTATGCAACGTGCGTGCTGCCTCTCTGCAACGACTCTCTCACGCAAGTAAGTAAGCTACGCAGCCGGTGGAAGCCCGTTAAGTTGCTCTGTATATAGTCAGCAGACTATGGCTGTACAGTGCAATGCATACCTGCACTGTACAGTCAGTGAATTGGTTGATAAGGCTTTGACAATCTGGGGTCGACTGTGCGAATTGCGCTTAGAAGATCCCACAATTACGGCCTTTCGACGAAGCACAGCCATTTGCACACGCTAACGCGATGGCTTCTCAAATGCTTGCGCACTTGACAAGGTTCGTTATTACCGTCTAGCTTATCCTTCAGCGTAGACAGACTAACTGCCAGCCGCAGTAGCCTCATGCAAAACTCACGGAGTTTATCCCCAGCAGAAGTGGTGAAATGGACACATTCAAAAAGAGTCTGTGCCACCGTTCTTGTGGGTATTTCCTTAGTTCAGTAAGATTCAGTGGCCCGCTGGACGTGGATCTATTGGATCTTAGTAGCAATCTCGTCCCGTACAGGGGACTACACTTTCTGGTCAGTGCCTTGGCGCCGTTAGAGCCGCAGCCACGCCAACAATATCTGCATGGCAGCCTCTCTCAGGCTGCAAACAGAGGCAGTCTACCAACAGGGCCTACAAGAAACCAAATAGCTCCGCGTTGCGTAGACATGCTGCTAGACATTCTATCGCCGAGTCACCAGCTGTTGGACATTCGTCCAAAAGCAAGCACGTGAGGCAACCTCTAGAAATGCAGTTTGCTCGTGCATTCTTTTAGCTGAAGAATATTTAGAAGCTCAGTTTCTGATCCCCTTATTGCTTCTTTGGAGTCGAGTGTTGCTCTCAGGTGCCTAGCCTGGGCAGCTCTGTTCAGGGGCAGTTGCTTGGTTGGTGATATTGTTCAGTATGTTGACAGGTATGCTGTTCTCCAATGCCGCCACAAACAGAAACCATGGTGTGTCGCTGTTCGTCGAACATATTCAGAATGCGTATGCAGTTACGTTGCTTTCAGGATGAAAAGGTACCTTCGGTTCCCCTCGTTCTGTAGAGGCTCTATCAGGCTGGGCATATGTGCAACTCCACCACCTGGTTATGTAAGCCTTTACAGTTTGGTCATCTATCTTACAACGACCGCAGATGTTCCGATAGCGAGACGCCCGGGTTGTAATGGCGCCGCCAATGCAGATTGTCACAGGTTCTGGGATCCTTTCATGTATTGGTGCCAAGCAGAATTTTCTTGCTCCATCTTTCACCTAATTTATCCGCAGCAATCGTCCCTCCTAAGCTTATTAAATACATGTGAAATTCGACACCACTTTGAGCGCGTCTTGAGCCGCTTTTTGAAGCTATATTCCAGAAAGGTAATTCTGAAGTATGAGTTCGTGCGAGGTACTCATTTCACCGGATACTGTAGATGGGTAAGCAGTGGCTTCCGCTTTTAAAGCATCCTGCTAGCCAGCCAAACTTTGTGCAGGCACACGTGCATCACTACACGCAATTTGTCGAAGAGGAAGTATTTGGCAGCGCAGCTGAGTCGCTTAAGTGTCTTATTGAGGACTACTCATATATAAACTCGCACCTTCTACCGCCACCCGCATTTACGTTGTCAAACAAAGACCCTAGACTCATGAGAAATTCAGGAGGCTGCTCTCATCGCAATGCCTGGCCTCCGGTTGCAGCTTCACAGCCGCTTCCGCACTGATGAATGCTACAAAAACTGCCGCAAAACACCCTCATTTTCCACTCCTGATTGCCGAGATGGGCTCAGCCACGGTATGCCGTGGCAACCAGTACAACTTTGAGGTGTCATTAACTTTTGACTTAAACGTCTGGGATATTCAAAACTATGTCAGAGAGCTAGAGCGCCAAGTGCATCAACTACGTGCAATATGCGCCCGGCGCAGCTACATCTGTAGATCCAACCACAACATCCAGGATTTTTATTGGTCTCCATAGTTATCACGATCACAATGAAGAGGCAAGCCACGCCAACTTCCTCGTCCATACTGCTAGATTTGAAACATGTGCCTTGCGCAGTTAGCAACGTGCTGTTTCTCATTGGCACCACAATTCCGTTTGCTCTTTAAAACTATACAGCACAGCTAAGTTGCAGCTCTGTCTATCTTCATAGCAGTTGCCGCTGTTCCTAAAGTGGGCTTCGTACTGCAAACTGATATGAGAGTCGCTTGCCATAGTAGAGAACCCCGAAAACAACTCACACGCATTCAGTCATCAAAGCAACATACATTTACAGGCGTAGTCAACTCATACCGAGAACGGCGGCTTCTCTGTTCCGTTCTTTTCCATTTCAATGGACTGAAGTTGAATAGGTGTGTACACCACTGGTTTGGACGAACCGAGCGAAGTACCTAAGTATGCAAGATACGCAAAACACGTATTGTGCCATTTCTTTGCTTGGAATACCTTTTCAAGCTAAAATTTCGGAGAGAAGGCCAGCAGCGTCTCCACCACAAAGCGGTTGGTACAGATGTCTCTTTGGTCGCTATTTCCAGTGACTTCACTTTCTGGGTCATCACGCAGGTCAGCAGCTCCTGCAAATGCCTTCATCATGATTTTCATCTTTGTTTATGCTCCAGTGTGTGCCTCGCAATAACTAAACTAGCCGCATACCTTACTTGCTCCAGGGACCGCAAAAACACAGGCTTGCAGGCAGCGGGCAACTTTTCAGCCGGAGAGAGAAATAGCTTTTGCAATTGAGACAACAAGCATTAAAACCTTGTTTTTGGTTTTGTGGAGCCAGCTCGTCAATCACGAAAGCTTCTGTGGCACTAGTGTTAGCGCTTCCACACACGCCCTCCTCCAGTACGGTTGCGGAGCAAACTTACTGGCACATCCCACAGCGAAGCGCGGAAATGCCGTTCCGTTACTAACATTTATACAGGTTTCCATACTGGTCCTCGTAGTAAACTCTTTTAAAAGGCTGTATTCAGGCGAGGGCAGCCACTGGCATGCACAAGCTGCTGGCTTGGAACCTGCTCAGCTGCCTCACTACGGAGCTGCGGCTCGAGCAAATTGCCCTAATTTGTTGGGTTTTACACGTACCACCTCATGTACCAGATACATATATCGGAAAAAGCAAAAGGGAGGGGGTAGTCTCTCGTTATGGCAGAAGGAGCTTGCATGCAACAGCCAGCTCCTGCCTCAAATATGGCCTTTCAGATGAATCTGTTAGTGAGAGCACTCTAAAATTCAGTCTGAATACGTTTTGCAGTGTGTAAGTTCTGCCTGAACGATGTTTTGCTGCTACAACCCTGGCAGTGCCAGTGAACTCGCTGCGAAGGGAGCATAGTTTGACCTGCTATACCAGAATCTCTCACGCTCTGCTTCCATTAAGCGCACCAGACGTTAGTGTTCGCAATTAAGGACGTTAATCGTTTTCTTTGGGTGCCACGCATGCAGTCTGCTGATTCGACTGTATCACCGCTCCCACCTCTCGTCTTTATGATTGTCATGAGCATTACGGGCCGCAACATGCTCGCCCACGTGGCGAATCTGCATGCAATGAAGCAGCATTACTTTTGTCTTCAGGTTTGTATGATGCAAAAAGCTCAGAGCAGATGCCAGTTGGCAAGGCAAAAAGAGACTCTTGGTCGCTTTCGGGGGAGATAATGCTGCACCACGCATGCAGCAGCACTACTAACGCCGTAACCGGGCGTAACGATAAATAAGAGTTTTACCCGAAGCTTCTGGCAAATTTAGTTTCAATTTACTGTGCTGAGTTTCTGCACTGGGCCAAATGGTAATTGTTTGGTCCAATCAAATCTGCACCAAGATAGATGTGCTAAACTTTCTCTGCTGGAGCACGAAAAAGAAGTTGCATCATCAGTCAGAAAGCTGCAAGTGAACCAAAACAAGGCGTCTCCTGTAGACTCCAGCATATGTTCTGAGGACTCCAACGATGCAGAAGTACGAACTGGTTAAGAAAATAGGGGCCGGCTCTCAGGGAGACTGTCATCTCGCGCAGGACACCACAACCTGTAGGCTTCTAGGTCATTTCACACCTCAGCATTAATGCAGGTTTATGACATTCCAGGCCAGCTCTGGTTTGTGCGGCATCATCCAGTAGATGTGCTAATTTTACAGTTGACTCAATCCGCCCATGATATGCAGATCACAGCCCATGCAAAATGCAGTTTTAATAGCTTGAAAAACACAGTCACAACAGTGTCTCTTTCAAGGAACCAATTGTTCACGTGTTATTTTGCAATGCCAAGGCGCTTCTTTCTCTCCGCTCAGGCAAATTTTATGTTATCAAAGAGGTCAATCTTGGGCCTTTGACTTCTCAGGAAAGGCAAGATGCGTGGAATGAAACAAGCATTTTGCAAGACTTACAACCCCACCCTAACATTATACAGTTTGTCGAAGCTCATCTGGACCCAGAAGAGGAGAAGCTGTCAATCGTCATGGAGTACGCAGATTCAGGCGACCTTGCGTCCCAGGTTCTTCGCAGAAAGGAGTTGCTTGCTAAGCAGGAGGCGCGCATGCGGACTCCTCCTGCACTCCCTAAGGCGCAAGGCAAGAACTCCAACAGCCCATTCTTCCAAGAGCATGATATCATGCTCATATTTGTTCAGTGCGTGTTCGGGCTACACCATCTACACACAAGCCAGATAATGCATAGGGACATAAAAACTCACAACATACTGTTATTCAGTAACGGACTTGTGAAGCTGGGGGACTTCGGGGTAGCCAAAAGCTTTAGCCATACGAAAATCCGCAGCTCGTTTGTGGGGTCGCCCCTATACATGGCACCCGAATTGCATTCCTCCAACGGATACACATACAAGGCAGATATATGGTCCCTTGGATGTGTCTTGTACGAGCTCTGCTGCCTAAGGCATCCGTACAATGGTAAGGAATGTCTGCTGAGGCTGGGATAGCTTAGCTACTGGTACAGCTAAAATTTGAATATGCAAAGAGGACAATCTTGGCCACTACTGGACTAAAAAGCCACTTGAGCACTCCTGAAGAGGAACTACACATGACAATTTCCCTGGCGAATCACTCAAACCGGTGTTTGGCGGCTGTGCGTGCAACGTTCAGCGAATAATGTCATCGAGCTTGCCATAAAAGTGACAAATGCTCCCCCACCGACCCGCTTAGATGTTCCGCCGCAGGCGTACGCTGCGGAGATTTTGCACCTTATTAGTCGTATGCTTCAAAAAGACCCAGCTTTACGGCCCAGCACTGTCGAGATAATACGCATGCCCTTTTTCTACAAGTATACGGAGATACTTGCGAGCAGGTTAGATTCTCAATGTGGGAAAAAGGTACTCTCTACTCCTCAGTGGCAAGTAAACACTCCTCCTCCTAGCTTCAGACTCCTTTGAAGTACCATGCGTTCGCATGCCGTCTCTCGAGGTATGAAGTTCTGCACTACCTCAAGAATATCCAAGAACAATTCAAAGAGATCCTGCAAGACCTCCCAACTCCCTCTCTCAGCTTAGAAGTAGATAATCTGCGCGGCAAAGTGAGGCAGAGCCAATTCCCCAACGCGCCTTAGCACCACATTTTGATAAGGTGAAAAATTACGTTCAAACCGGTACCTTGAAAACGTATGCATGGTGCAGAGAGCCTTGGCGAAGGCGTTTTAGTTTAGTGCTGTTAGCATGACCAGTTTTGCTGTCGGTTTCCTCAAAGCTCTGAATATTTGGTAGATCACCGGGCTGCTTCATTTGTTACCAGCATATCCGCTCTGGCCAAAATTGCTACTGTGCAGAAAAGCGAAAACCTGTTTTTGGCTCATACACGCATGCTCGCAGTGCACGACGTTTAAGCTTGGTCTCGTCACAGAAGAGGAGTTGTTTGGCAGTACTGACGAAACTCCACAAGGCGCTTCACGCGGCAAGGCGCTGGGTGAGAGAGCTTATCAAACCTAGACAGAAGCGCTCGGCATATGCAACGGCTAGTAATATCCAAACGGCTCTTTTGCGTCCTGCAGATCTGGATGAACCCTTGTTGCGGAACTTTGGGCCTCGCCCAGTATTGCCATGGCAGAGAATAGTGGCAGCTGAAGCATCAAATGAGGAGCCGCAAAGCATTAAAAACAGTTTGACTTTAGAAGGCACACTCAATCAAACGGAGTCAAAACATAAACAGAATGCTCCCACTGACAATCAGGAACTAGATGTCCTGCTAGACGCTTTGCTGCCTCAAAGCAGCCTAGTTGGTGAAGAGCATACAAAAACACAAGAAGAAACGCTTATTGGCATCGGAATGCGCACCAGCAACAACGCGGGCCTCCTCAATGAGGATAACAATGGTGTTGGGTCAATGACAAATGCCACGTGTACAGCGAAGAGTCTTCCCCACGAGGCATTAAACGCCGCAAGGTGCCTTGCTCCTGGAGAAGATCAACAATCCCCTGTATCGGCCGAAGGGTGCTTCAGCAAAATTGCAGCGCCAACTGCTACAAGAGCTGTCCCATGCTGCTTGGCACCTAAAGGAACAGGCAGTCCCACGGCGCAGCGCCAACACGCAAAAGCTGCTGCTGGTCAGGTCCCCTCAGATAAAAAGTATGCCTTGTCAAAGCGACAAAGATTGATAAAACTTATTTGTTTAAGGGTAGCTCGGCATTCCAATAGTGAGGCGAACCGCAAGTATTGTTTGCCAACAGAGAACACGTCGGCTGTCGACCATCAACCCGGTGTGTACGTAGATGGAAACGAGCTCTCGTCAGAATCTCGTTCAAAACGTCAGAAATCCTTCACAGTGCGTTGTTGCTCGCGGTCTAGGGCATGATTTTCCCTAGCAGCGTTCTTCATCCTCAGCACAATTACTCTGCGCTGCGCTTCGTCTTAAACTACGTTTATTTTTCAAAGCCACATAACCATGTTGATTCCATTCGTATATCCGAGGGGATACCAGATGCCTCTTTAACAAGCCGTTCTACGTGGGGCTTAAAAGCACAGCTTAACTGGACTTCCCGTAAGAGCGTAGTTAGATTAGGAATTCGAAGTGGTTGGTTTTGTACGGATGGTTGATCATAACCTGAGTGGGTTGTCTGAACGGTGCATGCCCATCCGTGCACAGATACATTACCCAACCTGTGAATTGACTCCATGTGAAGGGTGAATTACTAGGAAACTGGCAACGGTACTGATCAAATTGCACGTTTCTTGTTCCTTGATGCCACGCCAAACTTTTGGTGCCTTTTTTCCAAAGGCACCCTGGAGCAAGCCGTGGCTGATTCTACTGAACATGTGGCATACGCTCAACGCACATTGGCCAACGCCTCAGAAGCGGTGACGTCGCTTCCGCACAGCTTATACCAAAGGCTGGGTGCTGGCCATGTCATGAAACAATAGAACTCATATTAGAGGCTCAGTAGCAAGTTCAGAAAATTGCACCAGTTGAAACCCTAGTTCAGGCAATTCGAAATACATGCAAAGGCGACAAGCAGTCGTCCTCTCGGAATCCGTAGACTTCTAGGAGAATCAATCCCTGATGGATGCCTCAGAATGATTTTGGTCCGTAGGCTGTAGCGGTAGGGTGCCAGAGCAGGACCTTGACCGGCCACGGGGTTCAGTTGGCCTTTTCTGCTCACTGGTGTGAGAGGCTGCATGCTCACGTGACTCAGAATGACGTTGGGCACGCGGCGATCCCGACCGTGAGCGCGAATTTGGACGCGTATGCGACTCATGAATGTCCCCCGAGTCAGCTGTGCCTCCTTTATCACTACGCACCGACAGACACTGTTCCGCGTCAGAGTGTGCATTCGACTGACACGCTGCTGGAGATCTGGAACGACTCCTTCGGCGTCTGGACGATGATTCATGCTCAGCATACGACGACACGTGTCTCGGGGACCGCGATCGATTTCTTCTCACAGAGTTGCTGCGGCTTCGCCTGAACATATTGGGCGCTCATAACACTTGAAAAGAAATACTAGAAACGAAGTGGTTTGCGTTGAACAAAAAGGTTCGAGCTATGCGCTCTGTAGGGGAAAAGCAGAGTAATGTAGTGACAGTCTGATATGTCGAATGCGTCTGATATTTGTCGAATGCAACTCTGCACGTGCTTACCGGCCACCACGCTCGTATCCATCTTCCCCAGATCCCTGGAAAGCACACAGTCATATCCTCTCCATACAAAATGGTTGCCATTGTTACGGAATGAGTATTTGCCACGGCTAAACCTCCCTAGCAAAGCAGTAGAATGCATCGTATTTGCCACGGCTAAACCTCCCTAGCAAAGCAGTAGAATGCATCGGTCAAAGTGCCAGCAGTATCTTACGTAATCACGCTCGACGCGGATTTGCGCACGGTGGAAAATGTTGCAAAATTCGCTTCTGTCCAAACGCTTTATAGCGTACTCCATTTCTTCTCGAGTAGGATACTCCACAATACCTACCTGGGCAGCGCATAGAACACTGGCATGTGAACAAGCATGTTGCCTCATGTAGTGTATAGCACATCCAAGCAACAGTTCCAACGCCCAAATTGCCACAACCCAACAGCCAATATGCGATGCATAGAGAGAAGACACAATGCCCCAGCGCTGCAAAAACCACTTGATAAAACGATCTTCGTTGCCGCGAAAACGCCAACACATTGTCAGCCCAAACCCTCCTGAAGAACGAAAATCCAGAGCGAAATCTAGGGTTGGAGCTCCAAGGGCCCGAGTCGAGAGCTCTTGGGTCAGCATACGGACCCTTGCAACTCAAATCCCCACAGCCATTTGCGCCAAGCTTCCCAACAGCACGGTCAGTCCAGAACAACTCCAAATAAGTTACCCTGAACCCTACACCCCCACATACTGGATGCGGCTTCTCCCTGTTGTACGGAGTCGCTACTGAAGCACCTGCCAACTTCCATACTCAGTCGCTTAATACCAAGTCCCCAAATCACCATAAGCAGCTCCAACGAAAGTTACCTTCGTACTCAGCACGGTAAAGCACGTCAGAGCTCCAGAGCTCTTACAGCACGGTGAAGCACATCAGAGCTTTAGAGCTCTTATGACACGTGCCAGGCAACGCAGCGCCTAATGAGATATACCGAGCGACCTTGCTTGCAATAAATGATTTTGGCGTGCACGGCAAGAAAATTACTCCAGTCTCACCCTGCTACGCACGGCAATGTAGTTACTCCAGCCTCACCCTATTTTCAACGCTTGCAAAACCAACATCTCCAGCCTTGCGCATATGGTCTTTGAGGTCCTGCCAGCTGGCGGTCGGCGGGAGGCCAAGTACACGAACACGGAATGCCGAACTGTAGAGCAAGAGCAACACGTCTAAAAGAATTCTGAAATTTCTCACTGCACGTTCTGTCTGTCACCACTTCCTTTAAAAATCACAGCACTACTCAGCTCTTCCAGCGAATGTTCACTGCAGGAATAATACTGAGCTCGTTGCATAAACAGTGTGGACGGGGTTTTATCATGCCTCGTCATCGTCAGCGGTCCCTGATGAGAAATTTGTTCTGCCCTAAAGAATGCACAGATAGCTTATGCTGCAATTTGTCTTCAAATCAAGATTCCAAAGCTTCGGAAACGACGTACCGCCTTGGAGGTCCATAAGACCCGCCATCGCCACCTCCACGGCCACCGCGGCGCTCCCCTCCGCGTTCAACGCGTAGGCACATATCGCCATAGCGCATGCCATCCCTCCTCTCTATCGCATCCTCCACAGAGCTGATCAACACAGAAAAGCACCTGCAGCTCCAGATTCTCAGCAATGCGACGGCACCAGGTTAGTTCGCAACCTACATAGCCGGCAAACCGTACAGGCATGCTATCTTCGAGGGTTGACGCTCACTATTTGTCATCAAAAACGACGAAAGCGAAAGACGTATCGTGCTTCCGGCTTCTTTTTACCTCGATTTCGCGAATTCGCCCAAACTGCGCAATGATTTCGCATGATGTATGACACAAGTGGGAAGAAGTCAGCACTCACTGCGGCAAAATCCAAGTCATTCGGCCTCTCCACTCTAGCCAGAAAAAAAAGATACAAGCAGCTCACCTTGTAGAATAGGTCGTCGACTTCGCGTTCGGTGACGTCATAGGGTAAATTGCCTACGTAGAGGCGTTCACCCGACCAGTGTTGTCTGCTCATTGTACGGCAAGTGGACCTTAAAGAGAACGAGAAGCACTCAATTAGACACCTGACATGAAGAATAGGCACGTCACAACTCCTCTCTACACTCCCCTACGGTCCCTTAAAAGGGAACGCGGCCAAGTAGACACCAGCCCTGTGTGCACGGAGAGTGCTGCAGTTTGCCAATCACGAAGATGCTCGGGTATCTGTGGCTGATTTATGGATAATAACTCCTAAAAACAGCATACAGAGGGACGAGCTGTGGCGCACCTAACTTTAATGCAAGCAGCCTACAGCTCGCGGCGTATTCCGGCGAGAAGTTGACATAGACAAGCGGGTGGGTGATGCTTGCAAACAACGCGCTAACCACAAACCACGAGATGTGGGGTGTGGGCTTCTAGACAAATCAGATTTTAAGGTAAGAGAAAGACTTGGAATGTCCACTGAGAAGCGTACAACTCTGAGCTTCCCGGGGCCACTGCAGCCCCGTAGAGGATGGGTGGGCCACAAACCACGAGTGGATGCCTTACAACGTTTTATTTGAAGCTCCGTCACACCAGCATAATTCCTTCCTCGGATTGTTTTTTTTCCGCCAAGTGGGAGCCTGTCAATGCAACTGCAGACACATTCCCTGGTGTGCGCATGCCAATGAAGGCGCCGCAATAGGGTCACCAAAATGGAACAGCTCAATCCCCTGCAAAACTGTTGTAGAGTGGTTTCACTATTCAAGCAAATGCTATGTATTGATAAGAATAATCGAAAGCTTGCATGGAAAATTTTTTACAATGATCCTCGGAGGTCAGGTTGGCCACAGAAACTGCGTGCTCCACTGTGAAGCCGCCCACCGCAAACTGGAAAACTCGCTATATTTAGCGTATCACTCCGGAATGTGTGACGAAGATAAGTATCTGAAGATTTTCTGTACCCGTTTGCTGAAATTATTGCGTGATTTGTCCCTGGCGGAGCCCCCCGTCATGCAGAACGATGCCGTAGCCATAGCTCGTTCAGTGGGCAGAGCTGGACGAGGCCTGCCATGTCATCGCAGTCAAATATCCTAGATATTCGCCTGAACAACAAAGGCATATCCAGGCGCCTAAGAGCATACTTGGGTTTCACACCTTGCATTGCGCTACCGGTACATTATCACATAGCGTCTGTCATACTGCTAAACAGGCCGGGAGGAGTCAGTGACTACCCGAACATGAAAGCAGCAACAAGATGGCAAAACTAGCTTTTACAAGAGGGACACGATGTTGTTCTTGCTGTGAGGAAAATGCTACTGGTGATTTGACGGACTGATATGGTAGCAAGCAGCGTCACAGCCGAAAGCACCAGAGCCTACATGCCTAACAGGAGAGTGGGCGTCAGCTAATAAGCAAATTGTTCTCAAGAGTGCACCACTGTGAAATAATGAGGCTTTTATAGACATATGCAAGCAATGACTGTTTCGCTCCGCAAAGTCATTGCTACACTTGGGAGCGTTGTTGTCAGCACAGCAGCTTGTTCCCCATGAGTGTTGCCGTAACTTCCAGTGACAAAAGAACACTGCCTCGCAACTCTGAGATCCAGCCCAAACATGTTACTAAAGCACACACGTCGTATCCTAGCTAGTATGCAGTGTTCTTACACCTACGAATGCCTCATCTCCTGCATCTCGGTGCCAACTACTGACAGAAACGTTTTCTCGCTATCTGAAGTCAGGTGCTCCCACTTCAAGACGTGCAAAATTCCCACAACAATTTTTTGGTCTCTACAAGCTGTAAACCTGAAATACATTGAGGAAACCTGCGCATTCCTCGGGATTTGAGAGGACTTCTACGATTCCCAGAGGGCTATAACACTTTGGTAGAGTTATGTACAACGAAAAATTTTGCTGCATGGCACTTTTCAGCATGTGGCAGTTGCAAGAAGTGGCTTTAGGGTCCACGCTGGAGAAAAACGAGATAATATCAGTTGCGGCGTGCTTTGTCGCCCCAATGTGGGCTTCTTTTTCGGTTTCACATGTGGCATGCGCTTCGGTACTCATTGTATCGCCCAGATTAGCTCGATAATTGGCACTTTTCACCCTTGCCAGCACGATTCCAGTGAAAGTACGGCTCAGAGTTGTCCGAAGAGCTGGGGCGATCCCAGATATTCGTACCCCAATACTTCAAGTTCTGCGGTTGCCGGGAGCGGAGAGCTGCGAATTACAGAAGCTGCCCTCACCTGTGTGTGAGTGAGCAGTGCGATCACAGTACAATAGTTTGTCATAGTTTGACTACACTGATACATATAAAACTCATTTTCGCCCTTGGCCAATGGGCGGCGAAACGTCTTACAGCTTCGCACACAAACTCTGATTCCACTAATGCGAAGAATTGCTTCTACGGACACTGATTGGACAATTTCCTTGCCTTTGTCCCAAACCCTAAGCGTCGCATCCCTCCAAAACAGTACACGTTAGACAATTAGGGTGGAAAGAAAGGAAGCACGAGTAACTGAAATTTGTTTTGCGGTTGTGCCTCGGGCGAGAGAGCTGAAACAACTCCAAGACTAAGTACCTTTAAAGTTCACAGTGCTGGTGGCCTAAGCGTCGAGTCCCTCAAAAACAGTACACGCTTGACAATTAGGGTGAAAAGAAAGAGAGCACCAGTAACTGAAGCTTGTTTTGCGTTTGTGGCGCACCACATTCGCTTAGTGATGGCATTTAGCTGAAGCCACTCGGCGAAAACAATATTTATTACACATGTATATGGGCCGGTAAATTTGAGCGGTTCTTCACCATTAGTAACGACCCACTGTGATGTCGAGCTTTTGCCGCTGCTTCTGATTGATAGCCAAGAAGCGCCATTCAGAATGTCCAAAAATTCGAACAGCTTGCTTTGAACTAGGTAAAAGGAGGTTCAGTTGAAAATTTGAGGTGGAGCACTCTCTGTTTCACTGCTTCAGAGCGAATACTTCCTCTTTTGCACTCTCCTCAGGTATGTCTAAAAACAGAGGACCTCGTGCAGCCTTCAGTGTCACGTCTAGAAAAGATATTCATGAGCATTCCAAATAGTATAAATCAGTCATTATATAACGGAGAACTTGTGTTTGAGAGCTACTGTACTTTGAATTTCCTGTGAGCCCCTACTGCCAAAGGTGACCTCACAACCCGCATTATTTGCGTCTGAAAAACCACAGGCCAAGCCCACGCATTATTAAATTACGTTTAAAAGCATTTTCTTTAAGCTGAATAAACGTATGCAGTACGCTGATGTCTAAGGAGTTTCGACTTTTCGTCAAGGAAACAGGCACCTTCAGTAGCAGCTGTAGGTCTCGTCACACAAGTACTGAAGAAGAGGCGCGCTAAAGAACTAGGAATCAGTTGCGAAAAAACGTAGTGTAAGACTACATTTACAGTGTTTCCATGACTCTTCAGGGGATCCGGACAGACGCGTTTTGTGTCTGTCTGTGGTCTTGCTGTGGAATGTAGCCCTGGTTTGGGCTGCCCCCCTGTGCCGTTCCCCACAGCAGTAATGGCTCCAGCTACTAGTAATGCAAACTATGCCAGTTTTTTAAGCGAGTTATTAGGTAGCTTGATTGATAGAACTAATAGAGGGGAGCAGAGTACTTGAAACCTGCAGAAAACACAAGCATTCAAAGTCCCAGGCAAAGATAGCCTTGAGAGCAGAGGAATAAGTTTCTGTTTCATGGCGGCTCAGGTCTTTCTGGATCTTACCCAAGTCACGTTTCACCTACGTTAGGTTGGTAGCGGCGGACTCTTAGCGAACCACTGTCAGAAGTGATAACAGGAACGAAGTCTGTGGATTATGGAGCATATGGCAAACGACGCCTACTCCTCTGACAACAGAGGGACACAAATAACTCCAAATGAACGACAGCTTGAAGGAGATGCTTCTGAGCCAGGCGCTATAGAAGAAAGCAACGCTCCTGACACTGATAATCATGAAAACGAGACTGATATGCTTGTGCGTCGAATTTCGAGTCTTCCGCCCATGCCACAGTCGCACAACTCAGCAGCAGCTCCGGCCTCTGCACATGGAGGCCACCAACAAATGCAGCGGCAACAAGAGGAAGACAACGACTCAGGAGATGTAGAGCAGAGGCGTGCATTGGAGTTGCTCCGGTCTGTCGATGAAGATGGCGACAACGGAGGGCAAGTCATTGTGTGCTCGGCCCCTGGTGAAACCAAAGACCTCACGCCCCTTGCTACTAGCTCAGCAAATGCTTCAGGGGGTGATGGTGCTCAACAGTACTTAACCTACGGGGGCCCTGGTTCCATAGAAGAAACTTCAACGCAACCAGCACAAAGGGGTGCAGGCTCCTCAACAGGGGCGGTTGCAGACACGGCGCCAGCTGATGCAGTAGCAAACCTTCCTGCAGACGATTCTTATATAGCTCAGCTAACCATGAGAGCACTTGAACACGAGCGCGAAGACGTGCTGAAGGTGAAGAACACCGGGAGGGACAACAACAATCGCAGCTTTAGCACTCAAGCATAAATCGTAGCGCCTCAGATCAGCAGCTCATCTGCCCTTTGCCTCCATTTTATTGAGTCATATCCATGATTCCGGGGCTAGCAGCTGTTTTCACATATTTACCACCCCAGAGGCTCTTCAGTTTGCTCTACAGGAGTTGGAGGCCTACCCAGAGTTAGAGTTTCTGCGACGCGAATATGAAAAGCTTCACCAGGCACTCAAAACTTCTCAAAAAAATGAGCTAGAGCTTAAGGCCAAGTACGCTGCGCAAAGCCTTTCTGGAAGATGTTGGCTGTGGTATCGGGCCCAATCTGCTAGTTACTGCAGCTTCCTTGTGAAGAGCGCTGCGCTTTTCGTTTGTCTGGGCTATACATCCTCAGGTGCATGGAGATGAGCAGCGCTCTGGCGGCAAATGCGGCACAAGTTCATGCAGCACTCAAGGAATCCAGTAGCGAAGAGGAGACCATCAAGCGATTAAAGCGGGTCAGTGCAGTTCCAGAGCTGCACTGTGAGCGCCAGCATCCGTTGCGAACCCAAATTCACAAGCAGCGAAACTTACCATATGGGGAAAAAACACGAATCGCATTTTGGCTGCATTGCGTGACTCTGTAGGACTTAAGCGCTTCTTTGATAGAGGTAGCCAATGGGAAGGCTCGAGAGGCAGCGGAGACCAAAGCAGCAAATCAGCTCCGAGCTCAAATTGAAGAATTGTACAAGTGAGCTTCAGTCCAGGGCATGGCAGCTACACTGTGATGCCCAAATACGTTTTGAGGTAATACTGGATGCGTGAGGGGTTCAGGAGGATTGACGAGGAAGAACGGCATTCTTTGCAACAAAATGCCCGCCTGAATGAATTACTACAAGAACGAGACAAATTGCAATCAAGTGCGGAAATGCTGTAAATATCAGTTTTTTTGCGGCATGGCAAGGAAGATGTCACCTGAGGTCCACAGTTTTCAGGTAGAATATGTAGAGCTTTTCGCTGATGAATACAGTCTAACACGTTGTTGAACCTTTCACTGGCGCTTCCGCATTTCTTCAGTGACTGACAGGCTCACGTCCACCAGCGAGTCTCTAACAAGAGACAACTTTGAAGCTATGAAGACTATTAAAGACCTAGAATCCAAGTTATCTAAAGGCAAGTCCTACAGTAACAGCAGATTAATGAGACTATGGCAACAAACGTTTCAGCAGCTATTAACATTTTATAACATATATACGCCCCTGCTGCGTGATTAAAAGCTGCCTTACGTGGGAGGGCCAATTGTGAGTTGGTGCTTCCACCGACAGCATAGAAAGACATCCGTTTTTTCCTTTTATTGCTGGTTCATGCAATGGGACATTCACCTATTTTTGTCAGAATATTTATTGTTCAGCGGTGGACAAATCACTATTCTTTTATAGTTGTTGCTAGACGTTCTGCTATGTCGGCGTGATAGTGCTGCTTTGGACTCCACAAAGCATTCTCGGTTGATAATGAATCTCCTCAGGTCTTCAAGACCTTTACACTACGCAGGAACAATTGCAGGACCGGCGTGCTGCAGCTGAAGAGGAGGCAAAAAAGCGAGAACGCCTAGAAAGGCAGCTCAAACAGAACAAGTCAAATTACACAAAAGTAGCGCGGAAACGAGAAGTAGCTGCAGCACATCATGCACGTGTCCACTCAAGTCTAAGAATCTAAAGTGGTCACAAGAGCGAGCCAGCGTGATTATGCTAACGCATGACTCGGCAAACAAACTCGTCCTACTCGCTTGTGGTCAGTCAATTGCAGAGCGCACTTTGAGCAACAACAGCAAGAAATTGCAAAGAAACAAGCAGAGCTGGCACAGTCAGAGGAGCAAGTAAGACCATTCTCAAAATCAAGAATGGCATTACCGCCGCACCACACACGAATTGATCAAGGAAAAACTATCACGAATGCGTTTGATGGCTTCTAAACTCCTCTTACATGCGAGGCTTTTGTTCATTTAGATCACTGCCCTGCAACAGCAGCTGTCCGTGACTCAGCAGCAAGTTCAGCAAGAGGTGCAAGAATCACAGGAAATTCAGAGGCGCATTGCCGTAAGTATATGTTGCCTGCGCATATCCTCCAGAAGCGTTTAAATATCCTTGCATTGACGCAATTTTGAAAATCATCACGTGCTTCCGTGGGTGTGCAGCAAACAGAGCTTCGTCTAAATGACCAGATCTACAAGAATAGCCGTCTCAAGGCAGCAAACGAGTGCGAATTATTCGGATGGCATTTGTATTCTGGTTTTCTCTCCTTGGAGCTCGCTTGTGTAACTCTGCAAGGGCAGCTGATAGTGTTAAGCATCATATTTGCCCTCCTGCGGAATTGCCCACAAGTATGATGTACTGCGTCACCTGAACTCTTGTTGCCTACCTGTTTGTGGGGCTTCAGGGAAAGAGAAGCGGAGCTGAGGGCAAAGCAGGAAGAGCTCGAGCGCATGAGATCTGAAAAGGCGAGCAGCAACTCAAAATCGACTCTGAACTGAAGTGTTGGACTCAGAAACTTCGGCTCATGGGGCTTTTGCACAGTTGAATCGCTGCTTTGCTTGCTTTTACATGCCGGCATTTTTATATCACACCATAAACACACGAAAATAGCTCCCTGCAATTTAGAAATTCCTGGATGCAGGATCGAGTGATCAAGCTTCACGAACTTCTGAAGAAGAAGATGCAGGTCCTTGAGGCGGACAAACGCACTTTAGATGAGCAAGCGACCGGTAACTCTTGTCGATCGGTCCCTCTCCTGTTTAGTTTTGCCACTTCCGCCCGCTACGTGCAACAAGCCGGCGCTTCGTGTCATAGATTCACCATAAAGACAATTAAACAGAGCAGCTTTTCCGTGGCAGTGTGTTGAAATTTCACAGCGCTGAGGCTAGAAACATCCGCTTCAGAAAAGGAAATGGACACACTAAAGCAGCAGGTACCATGAACAAAAGCTTCCTCTTGCGTAATGGTGGCATAGCAAAGCAAAGAATAGGCAGCATATGTGTCCATCTGCCACCATCTGCCCGGCTTGTCGTCACTCCACTTCTTATTCGCTAGAGTTAACTTGCTTCCTGATGTTTTGACCAAAATTCCCCTTTTTGTTGAATGGAACGCAGGCAGAGAATGACAAGCGCCAAATCGAATCCCTGTTGCGCGAGAGGTGACCTGCTGTCGAATTATAATTGTGCTATGCTGTAGCGATGCCGCTTGTGGATGAGAGCAATCCTTCACAACAACGCCAGGTCCGCCACTACGCGTTACCTGTTGTTGATAATTATGTCTTGCGCAAAGGGATTTGTTGTCTAAGAACCTTCTTAATGCGGACGCGACTGTGAAGAAGCATGCAGACCTGGCCAAGCAGCAACTGACTCACTGCGAGCACCTTGAGAAAGAAGTTGAGGGGTACGTTCACCTTTGTTAAAGATTGTTTCTTTTTGCAAATAACCGCCTTTCAGCGCAGGTGGTCACCGCTGAGTGGCCAGCATTCGTGAAGTTTACCCTGCAGATTGCCGTGTTCTAATATCATTAGAACATATTTCTTGTTCAATAGGTTTCGGCGGGAATGCCAGCAATTACAGCAAAAAGTAGAAACACTTGAAGCGGAAAGGGATCGCTACGGACACACTCTCAACAGGAGCAATCAAAAGTCGGGCCCCACCAGAATTTATGCCACAATTATCTGTTGCGGAGTTTGCGAGGAAGTGTTCGATAAGTGTTCGCCTTAAACCTTAATGGTGACAAATTTGAATTCGAAGTCCCCGATTGTACTTTTACTGGCGGAGGTGCTAAGCACACTACTGTGTTTTGGACCGACTCTGCTCACAGCACACCAAAGCTGTCCCAGACAAATTAACATATTTTTATCCCTCGAGGCTACCCTGCTGCTTGAATTCAGATACTTAGAAAGTCTAGAGCAGCTCAAAAACGAGGAACTGCGAGTGGCTGAGCTGCAGCGATCCATTGGAGAACAACATGCAAAACTTGCTGCGCAGAAGACATTGTATGAGGCTGTGCGTTCCGATAGAAACCTTTTCTCCAGAAATCTTATAGCCAGTCTCGACGAAATGACAGAGCTAAAACAGTAAGCGACGCATACCTAAGATGAATGTGCGTGTTTTGTTTTCTGTCCCATTCACGTCGGTGGAGGCAAACAATGCCTAATATAGGTTTCATGAGCACCTTGCCCGAGGGCACGCTTTTAGGGGTGTGCATTACAAGTGGTGTTAACCGACATGTATCTGGAACAATTATGCCCGTTTGGTCGTGTTTCTGATGCCTTGCTGCAGTAAGTTTAAGCTCATGTTTCAGCAAGTGGGCCAACTAAAGGAAGAAATAAAGGGAAAAGATGCAGGGTTGCTGAAGCAGCATTTCGAACATAGAAGAATAACATCAGAAAATGAAAAGCTGAAGGATGACCTGGGCAAGGCTGAGAAGAAACTTGGCTCTCTTGAGCAGATCATTGCGTCACAAAAGCAAGTTCAGTGAAAAATGAACCGCACAGCTGACCACTGGCGAGCCACTCATTATCGAACCTAGAGTATAAAAGCTAAAGTGCTTGTTTCGTTGTGTCTAAACTAGAATCGAATCACTAGCAGGGCACTGAGCACTGGTGTGTGCAGACGTGAAATTAAGAAGCTTGAAGAGACAATGCAAGAGGCCACGGCTGAGAAGGCCAACCAGGCAAAGGAGTTCTCAGCGGTATGGTAAATTATCCAGGGAAAGAAGAAGCTCTCTTGCGTGTTATTGCCTCCCCTCCACCAGCCGTTTTAGGCGGTTCTTCACTGTTCTACTGTGCAAGATGGCTTTCGCAGATATTGGCGGAAAGGGATATGCTGGGAAATCAACTGCTTAAGAGAAATCAAGAGTTGGCTCTTCTATACGAAAAGGTGAAAATCCAAGAATCCACGCTGGCAAAAGGTGAAGCTCAGTACAAGGTATGTTGTGCCGCTCACTAGTCTAAAAGGTGAGAAGGCTGGCTTCCACAACAAATGGCTGGACTTAGATGACGACATTTTTCCTTACTGTATTTTTTGCGAGGCTGCTCACTCTATTCTAATAAAAGTTCTATTCGCCAGATCTGGCATTCAGTTCCAGTACCCGAGATTTTGGTGTTTTCATTCAGGAGAGGCTCAAAGAGATAAAAGACTGGAGCCGACAGTGTTTGGCGTTCAGACGGGAACTTCGCAACCTTGAAGGAGGCGTAGCTGAAATGGAAGCACTCAAGCGAGAAATCTTACAGCTGCAGAAGGAATTACTGCAAGGCAAGTGCTGACCACCTGAAGGCGTGCACGTTCAGCTGTGCGTGTGTAAACATATCCTAGATGTCGCCATGCGCTTCGCTCTACTGCCGAATAAATTCGCCAAGCGCAATAAACCAAACTACACAGTAGAAACACACAGTGCAGCATCTTTCTTTGGCTTGTACTGAGACTGTTTTGCGCAGAGAGGACAAAGGTCAGAGCTTTAACTGAAGCACTGGCAACGCCCATGAATGTACACAGGTGGAGACGGCTTGAAGGGACTGACCCAGCCAAGATGGAACTGGTAAAGAAGATTCAGTCTTTGCAGAAACGACTGATCGCCAAGACTGAGGAGGTATGTGTACAGACAATTTCAAGCAAGGGCACAGAACTGTAGCTTGGTCTTGGCGTAGTTTGATATCCAGTGCTTTTAACGCAAAACTGTACGCGGGCTCAGGTTATTGAAAGAGATCTGCAGATACAAGAGAGGGAAAAGCTCTTCGTGCAACTCAAGGTATACTTAGAACTGCCAAACGACTGCACTACAGGACTAGAGCAAAAGCCATCAAGCGATTTCGTGTGGATCTCTTAGTTCAGGGGCCATGTGCTGTGCTGCTTTCTACTTTGAATCAGACGGCGCTCCACAAGCAACCTGGAGCTGAGGTTTTCGCTCAAATGCAAACTCTACAAGTGGTACGAATCTTCAAGTAGCTGCCTTTAGATATAGCAATTCATACTTTCATCGTCATTTGTCCGCGTTGCTGTGGCTGGCCCCCAGGATGTTCGCACCAAAACCAAACAGCTCCGCGCCGCCGTTTCAGAGTTGCAAGTTCTTCATAAGGAGGCAAGAAAATTACTTACTTTTCGACCAGGATGTCACAGACACCTCTTACATGTCTAAGGGACGAATTAGTCTCACAGCTGGGATAGCCATAGCCATACAAAATGCAAACGAACAACTAACTATCGACGCCTGCAAGAACACTTCAACGCGTGTGCATGCGAAAAACAACAGCCGGCTTGCACCCCCTGCCCTATTCGTTCTTGCTGCCATTTTAGGTCACAACCAAGAGAGACGAAATAGAAAGACTTCACAAGGAGCTGGAGGTTTGTCTTTACTATATCTACTCCCTGTGTAGCAATGAGCAGCAGTGACAAGAGTTATCAAACTCGGCAGAGGCTAGCATTTAAGTGAGTAACTTGTTCCTTGTTGGATTTTTAGGCAGTTAAAAGCCGCTATATTGATGGAAAACGGATTGAAGCAAGCGAACAGCAGAAGGGGCAGCAGCTTCAGGAACAACCGGTTAGCGCTATGCCAAAATTGATAGTCAAGCAATCAGAAGCCTCAGCTTTATCGATGCAATGAAGCAGCAGACTCTGTTCACGGCCAGCGTGGCCTGGTCGCAAACAGAGTCTGCGGACGAATAGACATTTATCCATGCAGATGCAAGACGTTGTCAGCACAGATCTAGATTTATGAGCCTCCGCTGGTACCAGATTGGCATCCCTCTCCGCTGTGTCAAATGCAGGCAGACGAAGCCTCTCGGACTGATACATTCTTTTCCTCCAGCACTTTTGAGTACCTCACAGGGGGCGCCTCTAGCATTCAGAGCTGAAGGGGATGCTAGGAAATCCGTACCCCTTTTAATCTAGGTGACGAAACGGCAGTCTTCTAGTGCAGCAATTTTTCCTCTTTGTCGGGACAAAATAGTGCAGACTTTTATGCGCATTTATAATCTGAATAAATCCAGCCTCCAGTGTGTGCCACGCGGCATGCACAGCATTTGTGGAAGCTCAGCCCGCTTCCCTGCATTGGACGCTACCTGCATTGGACGCAAAGCTCTCATCAATTCAGGGTCTCCACAGCGCACACCACTGGCAACTCGTGGCCAACAAGAATATCAGCGGAGTTTTTCCCAAGGCATGTAAAATGTAAAAATTTTGCAACGAGCTTGTGCTGCTGGTTCAGTTGTTTTCCTATGCACCTCCCAGGTACCGCAGAGGCAGTCATTCCTACAACCATAGTACCCGCCATGCCCATGAGTCTCTCATACCCCTTTCCACCAGACCGCATGAGCAAGTCCAGTGCCGCGAACAATAGTTATGGGATTTAAGGGGCGCATTATCTTTAGGAACAAGTTGTCATCGTGGTGTTGGGTTGCTGTGGGAAGATAGCCATTGGTGAGGCCCCAAAATAGGGCAACTTTGTTTAACATTATTCAGTATCCCGTGCCCTATACAGCAGCTCCGTTGATTCCGCTGTTTTCTAGTCTCTTCAAGCTATGAGCTTTGAGGATTCCTCCCAAACTGTACTCATGGGGTTGGTAGAGCCTTCTATGATTAAACAGATCACTTTTAGACCCCAGATATATGCAAAGGATTATACGTTCCTTAATTTCTATCAGCGTTTGTCATAACAACGGATAAGACTAGCTTGTGCAGCAGATAGGGTCTCAATGGCTGCGTTCATGACGTCGTTGTGTAACAGCGCTCTAGTCGCGCTCTGCAGTTTCACGGTGGATAAGAAATGAGTTTTCGAGCTAAAAAATAATCATATGTAGATAATCACGTGACTAAACCGAAGAATGCGCGGAGAAGGGGGCCACTATTCGTACGAGACTTAGGAACTGTTTTAGCAAGTAGTCAGAAACTCTCTCACTGACATGCATTTGCGTTGTTTCCACTGTTACCGTTGTTTCTAGTGGGGCTTGGAACTTCCCACAAGAGCACACGCAATTTGGTAGTGCTAGAACCCTCATGAAAACCAGGAATCTTGTTTCACCACCACTAAGTGGGACAAGCCCCTTCTACCTGAAGGCCACGCACTCGTTCGCTTGCAATTTCTAAAATCATAACAACTAAAATAATGCTAATTAACTGATTCCTGAACATGTTGCGAGTGAGATCACTGAGCAGATGACTACCGGAAGTCTGTGATTCGGGGTTTTCACCCTACACGTGCTCGAACCTTTGGCAGCGAAACACTACTGGCCCGATTAGGTTTGCGAAGACGGAAAGTTGAATCATTCTTCTGTCTGACTCCCCTGATGTTTCACTGTAAGAATGTTGGCTAATTATCACGTCACAGATGGCCTCGCGCTTCGGTCTTCGAACGTGAAGAGCATTGGGACGTCTGTCGATTAGGGCTAGATTCACATGTCGATGTACAAGGCATTTCTCACTTTTACATCAACTACCAAACGTCTCTCTGCAGAAAAATCATCTATCCGGGAAACTAACCGATATCTCAGTGTTCGAAAATAACTGAGCTAGCTTCCCTTTGCTCACGTCGTCAGTGGTCACCATGCGCGTAGCCGCTTTGGGTAGCCGGTGCAACTCAGTCAACGAAATTCCAAACAGCATACCAAATGACACTTTCTTCTAAAGCTAATTTGAGTTTTCATTTCAATACTTTAGCATTTCAAGCCAAAACTATGTCTCAGACACACAAAATGGCGTAAGTCAAAGCAATTTGTGCATCATCGTCGGCCTACCACCAGGTTGCACATTTTTTTAAGCTTGCTCACTGTTACTGCATATCAGGTCAAACAAACTGTGAGCATTACATGTTGGCAAATAAAGTTCCTAGAGTTAGTGAAGACACCAAGCAACCAGCATTTCTAAGGTTCTTTGCAAGCTCGGACTGAGCTTGCCATGTTAACTTTGAGAAAGGCCACAGCAGGCATCTACTCTATTCCCGCCCAGACACACACATTGCAGGCAGACATATTCAGGATACGGAATTTTGGGTAAGGCTTTGGCTCCACATGCATGCTCTTTCCCGTGTCCTCTTGCTCTGTGCAGTCGCCCTACAAACACGACGTCTGCTCATGCAAAGCGTGCCGTTCTGGCTTTCATCTTATTGGGACTATTCTCTTTTCCTCTCGGACAAGCGTATCCAAGACAAAATCCATACAATTTCAGAGCGAGTGTTCCCCAAAGTAGGGTGTACAGCACGGCGACGGCGATGCCTGCATGGAACGCTCGGCGGTGGAATTCCGTTCATGAGCTCTCACAGGCAATGAGAGCGCATGACAGTCCAAGGCATGTCACGGCTTACCCACAAAGCCAAAACGCACACCCTCAACAGACTATCTCGCAGACGGCAGCCACCACTAGACGCGCGCCTCACGAGACTATTTTGACGACGCATGAATCCAGCAGTATGACACCACGATACCCTGGAGTCAGCAGTGGAACGCAACCACAATACACCCAAGCCTCTTATGCTCAGGTCGTTCCAGAAGGCAGGGGAGTTGCATCTTCGTACGCTTCTGCAGTCGGAACACCGCAGCATTCGTCATCGGCCGCTAGCACAAATTACACGACTGCCGCCTCAACCCATGTTAAGCCTGCTGCCCGCCGTCCTAATAGTATGGGTTTCCGTCCACCCCCGCAGCTTTTTAGAGATCCTCGGGGAGCTACGTATACGCAAGCTGGAAGGACCACCAGCAGCTTCATGGGAATTGCTTCGACGGATTCCTATAGTCCGTATTCGTCAGCAAGGCCGTCCGGCGACACGTCACGAACTCCCGCAGGAAGCGATGGCGCAGGAACTGCAGAGACAACCTCTGCTGAGACCACTACTGCCGAAGAGGAGGAATCCGAGCCAACTGAGGAAGGTGAATCTACCGAAGTGCAAAGTTCGGGTAGAATGGGGGAAAGAAGGACCATGAACCCATATGACCTATCGCACATATTTCCGGATATTTACCAAGAAGAACAGCCGCCGTCGCATGAGAATATGGCACATCAAAGCCTTGAGCTGTTGGAAATGACAGCCTTGAACTCCTCGGATGAGGAGTAGACATCCCTTCAGGAATGCCGTAAAAGTATCCCGGTTGTCTGCTGAGAAGGGAAGAAAAGGCAGCGCCATGGCACAAGGCATCACACCGCTGCTAAGGCTAAATGGCTTTTGAATTTTTATCCCCGCAGGAAAAACGTGAAACCCACGAACATTCCCGGTACAAAATAATCGACTCAACACCCCTGTTCATACTTGCGGAGAATGATTCGCTGCACCATATTTACACATATATATATATATATACGCGTTCGAAGACCTCTGGAGAGGGCACAAACAAGCCTGTTTCGCTCTGTTGGCCACTGGCCATATTTTTTAAGCCTACGTTTCATTGCTCTATATGTTAAAATTACTCTACAGCCCTGACGGCTGCGCCCCGGAATCACCTCTAGCTAATTTCCACGAACTCGTTTCTCCATAATTCAACGGAGAACGTGGAGAAACTTCATACTCTACTATGCTCAGCTTCTTGAGCCGAACCTCATGAGAGTTCAGCCTCCGCGCAGCGCTGTTCGCTTTATTAGTGTTCCTACTGCCTACTAAACGCAGACCTTACTTGTTAACAGGAGCATACGCATTCGTGTATCGAATTTCAGATGGAATGCAGTTCAAACAAGCTTGAAGCGTCCAGATAAGCTGCTTGAAGCTCTCTTTGCCACGCAGCAGTAGCATTATAAAGCATTTTCGCTACTGCAGTTGTTGTCGCATCTTGCCTGCAAAGTACGCCTACTTACCCTATTCTTGCACGTTTGCAAGAACTGTACGAGATGGCCTACCGCATGATAGTAAGGAATGCGTCGCTGTTTTCTTCCTTTAACTTATTAACCCGAAAGACTGCTCTATGGGCAGCAGCGCTCACCTCGACTTGTAGTCCCGTGTACCGTCTTCAACACTTTATGTATTCAAAACACCTTGTGGACAGACGTGCAAGACAATCGTTCTACCTACCTGCCTACATTGTACGCATTAAGAGCCCACACGCGCCTGGCGTTGAGGCCCTCCAACTTCAAGCTTGCTCACAGTATACTTGTGGCCTGTCGCCCCTGAATCGATTATTCAGATTCCCAATTTCATGTTGCGCATAACTTCTGCGCAAGCGATTCGCTTAACTGTTGTCAGGGGCCGTCAAGTTGAAAATTTTAAAGAAGCTGTATGATGCCCCACCGCGTCCTTTCGTATCTGCTCAATTGTTACGAGCGCCACTATCTCTGGAGAAGAATGGTCATCTATAGTCATCCGTCAGCCGGAAAAAGTGCCAGCTAATCTACTGCATTGGAACTTCTGGGCACTCAAACAGCCACCGCATCCTTGTTTTGCTTGCCCGCAAATTTCAGGAGCTCTCGGCAAAAGTCTGCACTTCGCTTATTCGATATCATCAAGGTAGGGCACAAAGGCGTCAAGTTACAGCATATTCAGACAATTCCTTTTGAATTCTCCTGTGGCACCTTACACTACGTTCAAAATGCAGCGAAATCCCTCTTGAGCTTAGCTATCCCACAAGGAACACTCTGGGGTCACCGTGCGCTGTATATCACAGAAAACGCATCAAATTGTCCTCCAGCTCTGGGGCACTTCACCCTAAGCCGGAACATTCAGGAATTAAAAAATGAGATTTGGACATTGTCAAGCACGTGGATACTCAACAGAGCAGAGCTCAACTCCGCTAGTGTCTGGGTGGTTAGCTGCGGCCCACTGAAAATTGTCGGCATTCTCCAGAATAGCATAGCAGTCGGTTCAGCGCGCAGTGAGGAATCCCCATGCACTGCGAACCGCGCCCTGTGTGTGTGCCACCAGCAAGTCCAACAAAAACTTGAGATCACCCTATCAAAAGATTAAGAAAAACTTAAGCGCGCCAATGTGCAGCTCTTTCCCGCACGCTACAGCAGGCCTTCATCGAGAACGACGGGAAGAAGGCAGTTCCAAACTGTGCATCCGCTCAACCTAATCACCGCCAGTGGCCAAAATATCTTCGTCGATCGCCAAACTGAGTATGTCACCAACAATTCTCGGCAAAAGGAAGAATGAAGCGCCGCCCGATGAAGCAACTAAAGTTTGCACGAGAAAAGCATACCCGCATTCGCAGGACAAGAAGGCGAACACTCCCCAAAATGCGAGCGCGTAGCGTGTGCAGCTTCCACCCAAGGGCATCCCTACCTCCCCACAGAGACTTTCGAAAGACCGTCCTTACTTCGTGGACACGGACCGTGTTATGGCATCCCTTCGCAGTTTTTACTATACCAAGCACACGTGGATGTCTCAGTAGTGGAACCACTGTAACATTCCAGGTCGAAAGTTAAGCTAGGTACATTGCACCAAAAAAATCGGATCTGGTCCTACCTTGAGCCTGCCACAGCACCGAGGCACCAATGTAAATGCCCGATGGAAGTCATGAGTCTTCCTTACTCCTCGCACCGAAGAAACTTCTAACGCCCTTAAAAAGCATGGATGCCGCTCTAACATTTTGTGATGTGGATTTCGCACGTTCGAAGTTAGGGGGATTGAATGGGTTTGTATCCACTTCCAGCGTTACGAAGCCCGACCCAGCGTTAAGCTGCAATATTCCTTCATCTAAGACGCCATACAGGAGTGGGCTGGAGAAATTGAATAAATCCATCCCGGTGATGTTCACCTGAACACTTTGTAACGCTGCAGCCTTGAGTGCACCACCAAATCCTGCATTCGCATCCCGATGTAAGCGCTCACATACTGTTTCACTGAAGAGCCTCCACTCCACACGCAATAACCTGAGAAGGGGCACGCATACATCAATGCGAAACGTCATGAAAAGCTTGCAATAAAAACCCTTCGGACAGGGTCGGCTGCTGGAAACGTGTCACAACAAGAAATGAAAAAAGACGTACCATTTGAAATAGCATTCTCCACCGTTCATCCAGCAGTCATCAACTTTGCCTGATATCGTCATAATAGAGTTCAACCGACTATATGTAGATGATAACCACATCCATTTTTCATCCGCCTCCCTTTGAGATTCTGTCCTTGCACCTCTTAGGCCTGATAAGGCTCCCGATACGTACTGCCAGTTGCTTGCACGTACATCTAGTGGACGATTGTAGCCGGTGCGCGGCTGCAGAAGAAGATAGACTTCCGTTCCAACGCGAGGGTCCTTGCCTTGTGAAAAAACTGCACCACAAAGGTGATCCAGCAGCCCGTAGCTACGGTCGCTTTCTGGGCAAATATACCTAAATACCACACTGGCCCACGGCATCGGGTGCCCAAATCGGTCCTTGTTCCACAAAGATATGTAGCGAACCTCCACCTGAAACTCTAGCTCAGGGAAACTCCGAGTCCATAGTAGAAATCTTCTGAGTATGTTCCAGCGAGATACCTGAGACCTCTTACGATTGTGTCTCGACTCCCATGCAGATGACATTTCATAGTGGGCCTTCTCCATCATCGAAAGCCAGGCGCAAAGCTGTGGTCCTGTCCTTTGGGTGTCCAAAATTTCCCTGCCGTCAGCAGCAGAACCACCGAGAGGAGTAACAACTAAGTTCCCGGCCTTGCCAACGCGGCAGCCATCTGGACTCATCGTCCATGATTGGCGGTGCAAGGTGCTGGTCGTGCGAACGGAGTTTCCATCGGAAGAAAATATGCCAACGTCAGCTATAGCCTTCTCAATAAGCAGAGACGAGTGGACTAACCCTAAAAGGACGAAAAAATCAGTCAATCCCATTGTCGGCAACGGAAGGTCCCACACCACAACGGAAAACAGCAACACCCCCTGTAGCTGGCTTCAGGCACAATGCATTGAATGCATCAGCGGTGCTGTATCCAATATCTAGTTTCATAGATGTAAGAAGCCGTTTCCTCAAGGGGACTGCCTTCTAGCAGCAAGCTGAAATCAAAGAAGGGACAGCGCCATCACCATGAGTCACGGGGCTGGAGCGATAAATTTCACTATGTGAAAGCGGCAAGCAGTGTTACTTCCCATGTATCCCTGGATGAGAACTAGAAGAAGCATATTCTTATCATGTCATTTCCTGAATACCCTTTACTGTTGACAAAAGGGAGTGCGAGGCACGTCATGGCATATGATTGTGACCAAATACATGCCCCGATGGTTTCTAGTCTGAGCTGTGTGACCAGGCTTTGTTGGATGGCATGGTGCTACAAGTGCGAACAAATTTTAACGTTGAAGAAGGAGGACTCCTGTGAGGAAATAATGAATGGGTATTCCGCTACCAGAATCTAGGTTCCACGAGATGCTGGAAACTACCAGATAGATATCGACTGTGTTACGGGAGGAGGAAAGCTTGTTTGGGCCAGCTGTTTCTTTACCACCTAGTCTGAGAAAGCCTAGCCAGAAAACAACACAGGATTGGTAGGGCCACTACTTCAATAAGGGCAGTGCCACACGGGGACTCAGGGGATCATCGTACTGCACATCCCGATGGGTCTGACGGAAATGCTCTTAGCAAAGCTATAGATTGCGATGTCTGCGGCCAGGCTGAAACGACATTGATCAGTCTTTGCACACAAATGTCAGTTCCATTTTCAATGTTATCAGAGAGCTCCGGGGTTTCTTTTTCCTAGCTTCTAGCCTTATAGGCATTCGCACTCTCTCTACCAGCATGCGAGCCGGGCAGGGATTGGGGCGTTCCAGCAGCGCGCTCTGTGAAGCATACATTACTTCAAACATGTAGTTACGGGCTCGTACTTGTAGTATTCGGCTGACTCATACGGCCACATTACATATTTTTCAGCCTGCATCTATTGTGCTCACGAACAGATACACTCTAAAACCCGATTCGCTTTTCTAAATTCTCCCCAAAATAATTAGGAAATCCCAAACTATATTTATGAAAATTTGAGTAATAAAAAGGGGACATTTGGAATAGATCTGAATGCGTGATCCCTTCCAGTGGGTCAGCGCCCTTGTGACATCGTAGGCGCCCTGGCCAGCTCTGGACCTAGGGCCCGCAATAGAGCTACCAGGGCCCCCAAAGCCTCTATCTCCTCGTGAACTAGCGAATATTAACGAATCTCTTGACCTGTTTTATCACTGACCTCTGAAGGCTATGGGGAGGCCCCATTGTAGTGCCGTCCGCTACAGTACCTCTGCTTAAAAGACTCATGTGAGCCTTCGTCACAAAGCAGTCACGTGAGTGCCCGGAATGGCGTCATTAGAAGTGCTCATGCGACACGCCGATATCACCATGAAGAACAATAATTGAACAAGAATTGAAGGAGTTGCTTAGCCAACAAAGGCGGTATGGACGCAGAGCTGCAATTCTGGTTTCCAGGAAGTCTTTCTGTGAGCCAGAAGCATACCATTAACTTACTTAGGGCTACGGGGGAGATCCAAGCCACATTTTTAATCAGGTCTCCCCGGAGCGAGCACGTTTGATGTATCAACAAATTCTGAATGACAAGTACAGAAAATCCATGAGAAAACTGCTCGTCCTTGTGAACTTCTGCTTCGCCAACGCAGGAGTATGTCAGAAAGCAGGAGCTGAAAAGCTTAACCGTGCCTGGCAAACCCTTCTGTGCTACAAATGATGTATCTGAAGGCCATAACGGACATGAAGAGCTGGAGCTTCGTCAAGCACCGGTTGCACAGATCTTCCTATATCGCATACCAAGTAGAAGTGTTAGGTGAGCCAGCTACAGACTGCAGGGTAAAGGACAGTAAATAGAATTGTGTATTTGATGACAGTTGAGATGCAAAGCTTCCAGTGTGAAAATCTTCCTACTTTGCTCGGCCTCAGATTTAGAACGCCATAAGTGTGAGGTTAGCACCGGGTGAGGTAGCAGTAAAAGCATTGGCTCTTGCTCATGGGCAGCCGCTGACGAACGCAGATATTTTGAACTATGACTCACGACGAAGCAAGATAGCAGACACCGTGAGCGCAAAGCTATTATGACTAGGCATTAGCGTGTTACGAGTTTTCGGTGATGCCTCCTCAAGCGACAAGCTCCGAAGCGCGAAAGCGAAGAGCAAGACACCAAAAAATGTGTGCGAACAATTTAGTAAAAAGGGATATTATGGTAAGGATTCACTTGCGCCTGGAGGGCCTTCAGGATACTGTCAGTGTAACAAAAACCCTATAGCTTCTGCGCGCGGAAACTGCGCTAGAAGGCGCCTAAACGACAGAGCCAACTCGCTGCTGAAGATGAACACATGAGGTGTCAGGAACATGGTGTGGGACTGATGTGGATATGAGCGGAGGGTCACCAGGCCACTGATAGCGACGTGTAGCGGAAAGCATTGCTACACACCACATACGTAAGCGACTGGCAAAAGAGGCGGAGATGATTCATCAGCTTGTACAACACATGTGCAACAGGGCTCCAGAAAGGCGGCTAGGACTCCTGACATGCAGGCAGCGTCAGTGCCTGCTATCCTAAAGCCATCGTTGAGCCCATCCGAGAAATTAGGCTCTGCGTCACAATGCGGTCACGATGTTTAGTTTGTATAGCAAGCGGGTTGGCGCCACTGATACGTAGGCTGCATACAACGGCGATCAGCGTATTTGATGTTGTACGACACTATTGTGAGTACTGGAACGCGCAGCATTGGAGGCTTCCTCTCTTCAAGCTAACTAAGCACAGCTAAAGCTGCAGCGGCTTTTTCTACGTTGTACCTTTACCACGATTGAGTGGTTCGTTACTGAACTCCCTTAAGAGTACCGTGCCGTCGGATTGTTTCTTGTGATAAAGTGCCAGTATGAGCAATCACCTACGATACGGTTTCGCGATGCAGCTGGTACACACGGCAGGCCGTAGTCTTGGCTTGACAAATCAATACTCTTAAAGCCTTTCTGAGTGGGGGCTCGTGCCAATGACCCGAAGGGCACACCAGCGAAAAAGTGGAAAAGCTAGCAGGGTTAGTGTTGCCGAGGCAAAGCCACTTGTAAATCGCGCATTCTAGTGCCTGGCTGTACAGGTGCTATGCGTGACAGCTGACGAGGAAGCAGCACTTGCAGTATCCAAAAGCATGCTCGCTAGACACGTATGCATGAATTTGTTTGTCTTGGTAGCCCGTTGAAGAAAACTTTGTTTTATGCTTATTTGAACCTAAATGAACTGTGAGAACAGCTCTGGAATCTGTAGAAACCGTCACGTAGCCCTACTACACCCAATTTTCGGGAAATACAAAGAAATAAAAAGACTGTAGTGCCGTTTTGCTCAAACGCCGTCAAAACAAGGACGAGCGGGAGAGCCCCGACATGAAGATCGAACTTCATCCGAGAATTTCATGGCTTCACTGAATTGAACTGCGAGGCACCGCTACTGAGATGTGCGACATATACACTGAACGGCATTTTTACTTCCCCAGCGCCCTAGCCTTTAAACTGCCGTTCCCATGGAAATAATCGCCCTTGCCTGGTAACCTCCCAACAAAGCTTGCTGTCTGTAGTGTCGTGCTCATTCAGTGCGATGTGCACATGCACACATGGAGGTGATTGGTAGGATATTCGGATGAACGGTTGACTGGCAGTAGATACTGGATGGTGTGCTCCTTGAACACCATACGAGGAAGGTACAGCAGCACCCGTCTCAGCAAGAATTTTTCTTGTTGCAGAATAGCAATGTTGCACAAAGAATACTTACCGCTAGCATTCATATGTTCTCTATCTAAAAGGGCATGAATTGGTGGCGGAAGCTCTGCACTTTTCAACTATGGATGCTGAGATAGGCACCGCTCGCATGGTCAAAACGAACCAGTAGACGGCTGCCTTCTGCTCACTCATATGCTTTTATCGAGTGCAATCGGGGCGTAGTTAGGTCCCAAAGGCAATGCGTGCGCATAATGGTAACTAGCGCAAGCTTTGATTGCAGGACTAGCTATTAACCTCATAGCCATCGCGAAGCGCTGAGCCCATCAATTCTCTAGCAGAATTCGATGACCATAAAATCTGACAAGGTAGTTCACAGATATTCTCCCGCTGGATCCAGAACCTGGATCTAGCGGGGTAGCATGTAAGGAGGCCCACCATCCTGCAATCAGCGTAGTCAAACAGTTTTGCCTTAAAATCCGAAACCGGTTTTTCTGCGCCCAGTGCCAGAAAAACGCAAAGCCCTGCCCGTGGCTCGTGATACTTCGTAGCCCATGTGGGGCAAACTATGCTTCACCAGCAGTGAGAAATGGCGGGATGCTTCGCACTAGGCCTGATACTTGCGTGTACGTTACAACAGTAGAAGCGATTAAACATTGTCGTCACTTACCTTGAATTAGAGCCGCATTGTCTTGACCAGGGACCGCAAGACAGGAAATGTTATCTACGAGTTAGCGTCCCACTTGTGTGTCGTTATATTCGTGACCTTGAGCCTTCCACGTTTTTGAATGCGCTATATACATCTTCAAGGTGACTCATACAGGCCTCAAGAAAGCCGCTTGTGTCTCCTTGAGGAACCAAAAACACAGCATCATGAGGTCAGTGCCATGCTGGGACAGCGGGAAACTGGCGACAGTGTTTAGAACCTTCTACTGTTGTAATGGACACACGACTATCAGGCGTAGTGCAAACCATCCCGCCATTTCACAGGTTGCTTTTCATTATTGGGAGTGCAGGCTTACCAGTTATGGAGACGCTAACAGGCATTATGCACGTGTTCAGTGTAACTCTCCCCCACTCCCAACGAGCACGCTCCTGCTCCCCAACTCTATGGGACGCTAATAAGCCTCTATACTGCATTCGCATGGACTGTTGGCGTTTTTCTTCATCCTAG